TTTCTCCTACCGGGAGGTCTATTTAGGGTGCAAACTTGCTGTCTGCTGATGCCGCTGCTGCAGCCAAATCCACCTGTGGGCTTGTATTTTCACCATTCTCCACGGAAAGCTGCATTTGATCTCTCCCTTCTCACGCTTTGGGCTGCCTTTAAATTACACTTTGCTTAAGAGATACGAAACACAGCCCTGACACCAAAATACAAATCTACATTTATTCTACACGGATTCACTACAAAGATGTTTATTTGTGAGGGAAAAGGTTTGTTTGGCACTTTCTGTGTTTCAGTTCTCTAACAGCATCATGAGCATATGAATCTACTCGAAAACGTCTGTCAACAGGGTTAATCTAATATACTATTTATTAAAATTAAAATACCACTTATACTACTTCTAAATATGACGTGCTCTTGAACTTCTGCCTGGCAGCATAACTGCAAAGGTTTTTTTTTTTTTAAACATTTACACTTGAAATGTGCAGTGATTAAAAAGACCACAGTATCAGACAGAAAATCATTCAAGACTATTTCTATATTTCAGGTGATAGTCAGCAGGATTTGTAAAACCCTGCATTATAGAATTCAACAAGCTGCGTGTCTGCTTTAAAGCTATTTGATTTGTGCGTTTACCTGCAAAATGGGTCGACCTGGAAGCATTGAACGTACATAAAAAACATCAGCACATATGTCACTGTGTTTAGACATGCAATGAAAGGTAAATGGCATTTATACACCGCTTTTCTAGCTGCATTAAAAGCACATCATACATAAGCCACATTTAATACTTTCTCATTCATATCAATACATTTAATACATACAGCGCTTTCTACTTCACAAACACACAGACACACACTAAGGTTTGAGGTGCGGCATCTTGCCCAAGGACACTTAAAATCACAGACACTCTGTTCTACCTTTGGAACCACAGCCAGCCCATCCTACAGGCAAGATGAGTCATGCCACCACTTCATATCTGGAGATACTTAGCAATGGGCACATACCAATTTGGCAATGTTTTCTGCAGTTTTCATCATGACAGAAAGAATTCCACGACTTAAAAAAAAAAATCAGTTCATTTTATTTTTGGAATTTTGAGTTGAATTTCAGCTTGATAAAGTCCTCTATATAACAAACACTTCTGAAGTTGTGTGGTTTAACAATGACACTCCGTCTGCCTGGCATTGGTGTCTCTGCTGCGTCACTCGGTGTGGGTGCATCCTATTTTGCAGGCTCATATAAATGCCTCAGAGATTTCCACAGACTGGTTTAGTAACTGAGCTATTGGCTAGCACTCTACACACTGGAGGACATTTGCATAAAAACATTTTATTTCGCCCATGTGTCTTACTACATGTGTTTTTGCCACCTCTGAATCTCTGCCATCTGCGACAACATGTGTATTAAGCTTAACAATGCTTGGCCTCCTGCCTCTTCTTGCCTCATTTTATCCCTGTGTTTAAATACAGCAAAAGAGTCTCTGTATTTAACTTATCATAGCTTTGTATTCCCAAGCAAAACCTGTCCACATGCACTGGTTTAGTGATATGGAAACAGTTGGAACAGGTGGCAGGATCACAATGTTTTTGCTTTTTTTTTTCTTCTGGAGCAGTTCTGGAGTGACACATCTCTGCTCTGCCATGAAGAGCGGAAGAGCGTGTAAGCTCTGAATCTTACTATGTTCCCCTCCAGCCTCCTCCTCCTTTCTGTTTTAACTTTTTAAACACCTGGACTAACAAAAGACTGGCTTTGATCATGGGAAATCCCTTGGCAGAGCAGCAATGAATCCACAGTGGAGCTCCAAGTGTGTGTGTGTACTATGCAATGCACATAGTGCCAGTGTTGCTAGACTGAGTGTTCTCAGTACCGGAGCTTCATAGCCCGGGTAAAAGGTACCGGAGTACACCACATGCGGTTTGCGTCAAAGCACGACCGTGAAAACACACGCACGCACACAGAAGTGGGAGGGAAAGTGCAAGTGAGCACGAAAGACAGAAATCTTGTTTTTCCCGTGTAATCAGTGGCTCTGTAAACACACACACACACACACACACACAAGGCTGCTTGTTATCAGAAGCTTTCCCACGCTGCTGTGGTACAAAGCTCCACACCAGGATGGGAGGATGAAGAGAGGGAGGGATGGACGGAAGTACAGAGGGATGGAGGGTCAGTCTTCAGCAGCTTAGACTCACTGCAGGGATAAACACATCCCTCAGCGGGGGTCTGTATTTAGGGTAGCAAGATCAGAGTTCAAAACAGACAGACTGCCAGGCAGGCAAAGCGACAAGGAACAGACAGAGCAGCAAAGATAAACTAGCATCCAAACAGCAAACAACAACCAGCGCACATATCACACACTTTAGTTGAGGAGATTGCACATTCCTCCTCCACACCTCTGCTCCCACATTACTCTTACATCAACTCCTCTATTCTAGAACATCTCCCTGTTTCTCTGTCACTCGCTGCCTCTATCTCCCCTCGCCTGCTGCTCAGCCCTGAGCGCTTACGTAAGAGACCCATTTGCATAACAGGCTGTTTTCTCTGGCTACGGCATGGGCACATGAAACACACAGAATAATATGCTAACAACTCGGGCTGTTGGTAAACAACGACCTCCATCACAACATTTCGCGTTCGCACTATATGTGGCGCAGGTCTCGTCGGTGACAGAAATTTAGAGTCTCGGGATCTCTTGATGCCAGCTGGCTTGAGGCCAGAGGGGCTGAAACAGCTGTCATTTACGGAGCGCGCGGATATGTCTTCGGCTTGATAGACTTCATTCAGGTGGAGGCTGAACTGCCTGCTGTGTGAAACCTATGCAATAATAGGCCTTGCACCTAGAGATGACTGTTCAAATCAAGCAGCCTAGCATTATCCTCTTCAGGGTTAGGACGAGAGGGAAAGAGCCTCATGTGAGTGTGTGTGTGTGGTGGGGAGCCACACATGCAACGAGCTCTGCTGTTGGCGGAATGCTTATGGCTTTGCTAAGGCCTCTTCAAACATAAGCTATAAACATAGGGCACGCATTTATAGGAATATATGCAAACACACATACCCATAATCGAATGCACACATACTCACAGAGCATGCCAGCCTTAAGAGAATGAGCAGGAAAAAGAAAGGCTCTGGAACATCAGTAAATCCTGCAATGGAAGCTGTCAGATATACCCTGAGATACCTTATTACAAAGCCATTCATTAAGTCAAGAATTGCTCTAATCATGCGGTTATTAAGAAAGGACTGCTCTCTCTCATTTCGCTCTTATGCACACACACACACACGTGCACTTCAAAGAGACAACAACAAATGATCAAGGGAATCAAGCACAAATGCTCTCTTATTTGAGATTTCTCTTTTTCCTCAAGTCAAGATGTCGCTAATTTTGCCTTTCATGTTGATACATTTGCCACGCAGTTCTTTAAATACATCATGATATCATTTGAAACGGGGGGTGAAGCGGACTAAAAGGTTTGTGTGGCAAACGTGGCCCTGCTGAGAGACTAACAGTTGTGTCAAAGTAAATTCATCCCCTCTCCTGCCGGTCCATTCCAGAATCTCAAGAACCTCTTTTACTTTGTACATAAATAGGAATACTATAATGTCAATTTGGATGCCTAAAGGGCTGAACACCATCCAGCGCTTAATATAGAGGTTACGGAGAATTTATGTAAAAATGATGCTGAAATGTACAGTAGAATTTGCATCAGGTTTTCAGTGGTTTCAGTATAATGTGTATTCTGAAAATCAGAGTCTAAAATACCACAACAGCACATTTTCTTTTTTTTTCCTTTTATATACATTCCAAACCGACAAACGTTTAATAATCATAATATCAAAGATGGCATTTGCCATCTGATCTATGGATATTTATGTGTGTCTCCATTTAAAAGAAGTTAACATGTCAAAACAAAAACTGAAAAATTACCACTTTGTTGGGATTCTAGTCTTTGCCAATGTTGCATTCCTAGTAAAAGCAGTTGACCTTGACCCCCAATGTCACCTTACTCATGTTTACAGTTGGATTATCTGATGCCTAAACACAGCTGCAAGCTGTTTATAGTCGTCAAAAATAAATAAGAAGGTTGAAATAACAGAATATTTTGAAATCACACACCTTTAAGACTCAACTGAAATCGGAAATTAGTTGTACAGTATATTTTATACTAGCACTGTGAGGCTTAATCTGAGTGAAGGACATTAAGATTATGAGCAATCATTTCGGAATGAAAACTTTTGAGAATTTAACACAAAAACTCTGCCAATCCCATATCAACCCATGTACGTGTGGTCGTCAATCCAGGCTTCCTTAAATCGTTACTTACGCACAAGCCGCCCGAGCTGACCGTACGCAAAAACGCAGATATCTCTACAGAGCAGACTAAACATAAGTCTCGATCATGAATTAAAACAGGGAAATGCACTCAGCAAACAAAAAGCTCCGCATGTCAAAGAGCTTCTAAAGCTGCCTTAACGAGCAGTGCCAAACTGTTCGGTGCGCAAAAAGCTGCCAGTGTCTCCGGCACTCATTTAAGTGCTGCAAGTCAAAAACAACCGCGGGGGACGGTTATTGTGATCATTTTGAGGTGTGTCTTTTTTTTTGGACAACCAATCACGCACAGGACACAACATCAACATCATAAAGACACAGATGCGACAGACTTTAGGCTTTCGCGCTTGGGTTGAGGACCCGTGCCCAGTGCATACATTTATGAAAACAGGATATTCTAGCCAACCTGGCTGTTATAGGGCACGCTTTCTTCTCTAGCTGCCTCGCGTTTTCAGACAAACGCGCATCCATTCAACACACGTATACAGTATACGCGCAGGCACAGAGACACGTATAGCACATGTGAATGAGAAGCTCTATCTGTGAGTGTGTGTGTGTGTGTGTGTGTGTGTGTAACGGAGAGGGTTTATCCTGCCCTGCTGTTGGCCTGGAACATGCGCGTATACACATCACGCACATAGACAACTCACGCACGTACGCACCACCCGTCCCAGGCTCACCTTTAAGAAGAATCCCATAAATAGTGTAGAGGGTGAAAATCAAATGACTCTTGAGTTTCATCCTGTCTTCCCCTTGTCTTGCTCCCGTCTTTCCGCGCTTATTTCTCCTCTCCAATTCTGGATCTGTAACCGGACGGCTTTGTCAGCTTATCCAGGTAGACTTGGGAGTGTGCCTTTTGTGCGTCTCTTGGAGACGGGGAACGGGGTTAATGCAAACCGACTTCCCGACCCGCAATCTGTCTTGCTTTGGAATACGTAAAAAGTCTCGGTCATCAAAAACAATATTTTGGGTGTTCTTTCACAAATGCACCGCCAGTAAGGTGTAGAGTTAGTTTCCGGTCCTCTGAACAGGAACCGAAAACCTCAGGAACCAAGAAGAGTTGTCCTCCGGTAACAGGATGAATGCCGTTGCCTTACTACTGTCTGCCCCGCTCTTGGTCTGCTGTGGCGTCCACAGCGAAGGGAACACGAGTGGATTGTTTGAGTCCCGCCCACACGGTTCTGACTGACATGAAAGGTGAACCAATCAGAACGACCCGCGGGGGAGGGAAGCTGGAGGGGAGAGCGTCTGTGCGTTTGCGTGTGCCATGCGCGTGCGCGATGCATACTGCAAGAAATATCGCTTTCAACAAGGTTTTAGACATTCACTGTTAAAATATGATTCAGTCTCAGCAGAAGGAAGGTCAGTGAGATGAGTTAATCCCCCTCCCCCCCGCACAGGAAAGTGGACAAAGCTTGTCGAGTCAGTGATACTAATCTTTGCAAATGTCTGAAGGCAGCTGTTTCGTGGTAACCTGGAATGTTCTCGCTCAGTAGCAGAATTCTTTTTTGTGCGTGTGTGTTTTATTATATGAACAATAAAAAGAGTTAGATAACCCATATGCAAGTATGCTGTCACGCACCACTCTATAAACATACGTTTGAAAATTGTGCACCTCTGCAGTTGCGCCTCTTATAAGTAAAACGAATACACTGCATGAGTGATGATGACCAATACAGTTTGAATAATAAAGCTGGGACGAAGGCAGCATAAGGGGCGGAAACACTGGGAAATTCGTAAATTAATTCTTATTTAAATTTCCCTGTAAATCTGAATCAGCCACTGCAGAACTGGTAAAACGATTCAGCTGTTTGAGTGGGATCTGTGATTTCAGCCGCTGAAGTGTGGCGTGAAATGCACTGTTTCCGGGATGCTGCTACTGGGCACTGCCTAATCGACACAGACCGATCATTTTTTACAGTGTACTCGTGGAATGGACTCTGAATTCAAAACACAGAAGGTGCGTGTTGACACGCTCCTGAGCGTGAGCTGCCCTCCTGCATGAACTGGGTAACTCACGTACACGTTTCATCTCTTTCCGCGTGGTTGATGGTGATGATCAAGGTTAGAGAACTGTGAAGTATTAGGGTTGACAAATACCCGAGCTTTGAAGATTGTCTTGCAGGGGACAATCTGGCGGATGGTGAGGTTAAGTGGGATGTGAGGGGACAAGGCAGCATGTAGGTATGAGGGACACAGATAGAAAAAGCAGTTAAGAATGAAGCAGGAAAAGAAAGAGCAGGTCCCACAATACGAGGGCATGGTGAGACTGACATGTCGGGACTGAGGACTCATGGCTGAGGTATGTGATCATGTATGATCGTCACATTTTAATGTAGTTTTGTATGTTGAAAGGGTGGTCTGAGAAACTGAATTTGGATGGTTAGGTCACAATCATACTGTCTGTCTATAAGTAACACAGAAATTAATTAGGATTGTTTATCACTTAACAGACTTTTGTGTACTGGTAGGACCATATGACGTATCTATTGCCCTTTAGGTTCTGTGCTTCAGCAGATACCTCTTGGAGTGGTGTTTACTTTTAAAGAAATAGTATTTTAATTTCTATATGGTCATTGTGTTTATTTGTTTTAAACATACAAGAAGTTTGTAGTGCAGGAAAAAAAGTACCTCATACAATTTTGAGTGTAATTTTGTTATTATTATTTTTTATTCACATGGCCATAGTACATATGTAGCACTCGTTTCATTTTTCCGTAAAATTTGTTTAAATGTGTTAAATATCAAGTGAAAAAAGTTTGTAATCACAAGTTTATTTTGTTTTACAATAAAAAGAAAATAAACAGACAAACAAAGACATTGCTGGAACATTGTATATGTTTTCATATTGTTATTTCATCAGTTATAACCTGTTACTGTAATGTACGAAAGAAATTCATAACATCCCATGCCTATATGTTCTTGTCAGTCTAAAAACGTATTATCTAGCTTTATATAGCATTATTATCACTTTTTTATCACTTTATCAATTATCAGTCTAGTAACCTTAAAGGAGAGCTTGAATATACCATGATATTTTAAATATTTATATGCTACTTTCTATATGTTGACAATATGTACTTGTAGTTATAAGGTTTTATGTCAGTTTTTGACCACGAAATTATTACATTGGCCTTGAAGACCTTGATGGATGTAAGCCAAATTTTAATTAATCTAATCACATGACCCCACTCTCTACCCCTACAAAGTTTTATCAGAATTCAGTGAAAGCTTTTCGAGCTATTGAGTTTACAGACGTAATGATAAAACACACACAAGCACCACTACAAACATGACCCCCTTGGCAAAGGTAATAAAAAACGATGGTACCAAACAGAGGGTTTGATTTAATGTGTAACTAGCTATATGTAAGACAGCTTTTTGGCCAATTTGCAAGTATTCAAAACTTACTCAACACATTGTAGTAATAGTAAAATGTATTTCTTAGGCAGCTGTTGCTGATGATTAACTGGGGCTTTATTTAGATTAAGGTGGAGCTGTTGGCTGACAACAAGTAAAAATGCAAGCAAAGATAATATTAATAAGAAAAGCTAGAAATAAATGCGAGATATCAAAAATAGTGTAAAACTAACAGGTTGAAAATGAGGTCGCTAGAAATCTAAGTCTGTGACATGGGAGACATAAGAAGACAGATCTGGTGTATAAGCAGAAAACTGTTTGCAAGGCAAAAACTAAACAAAGTGCAGCTTGATGATATTAATAAATCAGAAGTAGTCACTGTGTCCTTCTACAAAGCACCACACATGGTGATTTTGTTTGAGTTCATCTGTATCTGGCTGATTAGTTTTAAAAGTCTTAAAGTGCAAACACCCTGTCTCATATACTTTCTGTATGGAGAAAGCTGAAGCTTGGTACTTTCATTTGGTATCACTTATTTCACCCTGACAGTGCTGAAACACAGAGCCTGCTGGACTGTATATGGAAATTAATTGAACCTGCTGAGCAACTCGAGGAGTTCTCATTTTGAGAAAAGGCTACCGACTGCTTTGTTATTCCATATGAAGATACGAAGAACATTGAAACGAGCAAGTCTTTTAAAATGCCATGGAAACGTGAAGCACTTTGAGCATATTACCACTTGGCTATATGGCCACTGTGAAACTATCAAAAGAATGTAATGGATAAAGTGCACAAAACAACACTGATCTCTACACATAAATCAATTTCAAGCATCATAAAACTAATCATAGAATAGAAACCAGAAGCTCTGCAATCAAACGTGTGATGCAGCAGCTATTAGGGAGTTGCTGTTATGATAGTGCATATGGTGTGATTGCAAAACAAAATTAGTTATGGAACAAATGTTTTATGTAATAATTTGTCAGTCACATACTTTGAAACAGTATGCCAATTTTTTTCATGACACAGTTCTGAGGTAAAGGCACAGTGCTGCTCCCTTAGATTGCATCTTTAGCTTGATTATAAATGTGCCCTATGCATTATTTATAAAATTAGCTTTGCTTATTCAAAGTTGCCTTTTCATACTAATAACAACTCAGCATAATTTCAATCACACATCTAAAGCTGCATAGCAGGAAGTGTTATCTGCTAACAGACAAGACGAGGTAAACTCTGCAAGTGCTACATGACAATCCATCTCTATTGCTGAATTCTTTTCATTATTTGGGGCGAATGGTGTGCACATGTATGACAAATTTGCAGTAATTTAAAAATGACATCAAATTTTGATTTCAAACTTGTTCTATGCTTTACTGATAATCAGTATCAGAGCTGAGATGGCTAAAAATGACCTTAAATGTTATTCTGCTGTAAGCTTTCTTTCAAGACAGCTTTTGCTTGCCTGCACACACACAAACACGCGCACACTGCACCCCTTATTTACTGTAAAATATTTCAATCAGCTTGTGAAAAATGTTCTACGAGCAAATTGGACTTGACTTGGCCTGCTGATCTTCTTTTGGGTCAGTCCACTTTAAGAGGAGCTGCTGCACACCTGGTAATGGCTCATTTCACACTCTCAGAATTGGTGTGTGTCATCACTAGAGGCATAGCAAAGAAACCAGGGGGGTCTCCTCTAAAAAGCATTTGGATCCAGGAGAGTGGCCAGTCAGTGAACTGATAGAAACAGCACATTCAAGTTTCCGCCTCACCTGGGATTGTCTCAGCGCTCCAGATGGCAGATAGACCACTCTCTCTCTCCTTCCTCTCTTTCTCTCTCACTCTCTCTCCCTCTCTCTGTCACACACACACACACACACACACACACACACACACACACACACACACACACACACACACACACACACACACACACACACACACATTGCCATTAGTGCACACCCTCCTCTCAGAGTTTCAAGTCACAACCACCTGCTCCTGGCTGAGACTATTGTTCACTGGTCCACCTAATGTAGGCTGACACATGTTGCCAAGCTAGCTGAGGGCCTAGCACTTTGGCTTGGATGGAACAAGGCGGGGCACCACATAAATCACCTCACCTTTTATATTGAAATTTTCTTTCAGCCATGTGTCCGTGTGCCTGCATATTCAAATGAATGACCTACTTTGTCAAAGCCACTCACAATAACAAAACTGAAATAAATAAGTAAGTAAATCCGGAAAACAAACTAAACAATTCCACATCCTTGACAGAAAACTGGATGTTTACCATAAATAGAAATGACATGTAAATGTATGCATATTTACTGATGAATAATAAACTCAGTTTTTCACTTTAGTTGCAAAACTCAATTAAAACACAGAGATGCAGCTACTCTTGGTAAGTTTTGAAAATTACATGTTGTGTTTTCTTGATACTCTTTGGACTCGTGATGTGACATCTGGAACTGTGCTGATGTTATTGCCAGGACTTAAGGGGCTTGGAGCACACTCTTTTTCTGCAGCACTCCCCTGCAATCCATTTTTCAGCTTCCGTCTGCCTGCTTTTCACTGTCTAATTCGAGCAAAAAGTAAATCACTAATTCATTCTAAATCACAGCTATTTAAATACTGCAGGATCTCATCACATTATCAGTAGTAATATTGTGTTAAGCTGGTAATATATGCAATTTAGCATAGAATGCCTGCCAACACAAATACTGTATACTTGCTATACATGTCAAAACTGCGAAGTGAAATCCATCCGAC